GCGCCGCCGTGTTGGGGTTCTCCCCGGAGAACGAGAGGGTCATCTCGATGCAACTGCGGGTCGCAAAGAGAAGGTCTCTGATTGTTGTTTGTGCTTATGCACCCAACAGCTTGGCGGCATCCTGCAAGGAGTGCCGGCTGGGGACTCCAAAGTTCTCCTGGGGGACCTCAATGCTCACGTGGGCAATGACTGAGAAACCTGGAGGGGGTGATTGGGAGGAACGGCCTGCCTGATCTGAACCCCAGTGATGTTTTGTTATTGGACTTCTGTGCGAGTCATGGACTGGCCATAACGAACACCATGTTCGAGCACAGGGAGGTTCATAAGTGTACCTGGTTCCAGAACACCCTAGGCCAAAGATCAATGATCGATCTTGTGGTCGTATCATCAGATCTGCAGCCATGTGTCTTGGACACTCGGGTGAAGAGAGGAGCAGAGCTGTCAGATGGTGGGGGAGGCTGCCGGACAGACCTGGTAAACCCAAACGTGTAGTGAGGGTGAACTGGGAATGTCTGGCTGAGGCCCCTGTCCGTGGGGTCTTCAACTGCCACCTCTGGCTCTGGCTGGCCCAGGGGTTTCCTGAAGCAGCAGGCAGGTACCGGTTGGCCAGAAGGGCTGCAGCTGTTCGAGGAAGCTATGGCCTTGCAAGGCTGCTGGAGGGGTCATGGGAGTTTGCCCATCCAGTCTACATGTGCATTGTGGACTTGGAGAGTTCGGGGAAGCTATGGCAAAGGATTTTCGATTGGCCTCAAGGAAGTTCTGGCAGACTGTTTACTGACTCAGGAAGGGAAAGCAGGGATTGTCTCAGGCTGTGCTCAGCAGAGAAGGAGAACTGCTGACCCCAATTGGGGACATCGTCCAGCGGTGGAAGGAGCACTTTGAGGACCCCCTGAACCCGGCCATAACGTCCACTGAGAACGAAACAGAGTCTGAAGACTTGAGGGAACTCTCGCCCATATCCCTGGCAGAGGTTGCTGAGGTAGTTAAAAAGCTCCCCAGTGGCAAGGCGCCGGGTGTGGATGAGATGCTGAAGGCTGTGGACACTGTTGGGCTATCTTGGCTGACACGCCTTTTCAGTGTCGCATGGAGGTTGGGTACGGTGCCTGCAGAGTGGCAGACCGGGGTGGTGGTCCCCATCTTCAAAAAAGGGGACCGGAGGGTGTGCTCCAACTATTGGGTACTTGTAATGTGTAACCACCCATCCCTGCACACAGACACAAACACCAGTCTCCAGGCGGAAAGTCATACCACCTGCCGCTGGCAGAGGAGCTAAACGGCTGCTTTGCTCACTTCGAAACATCACAGCAGCACTCATCTGCTCCAGCCCTGCCCCCACCTCCACCTGGTTCCTCCACCACTCCACTCACTGTACAGGAGCATGATGTCAGACGGGTGCTCCTGGCAGTGAACCCCAGGAAAGCTGCTGGCCCAGACGGAGTACCTGGCAAGGTGCTCAGAGCATGCGCCCACCAGCTCGCCCTCACCTTCACCAGGATCTTCAACCTCTCCTTGGCCCAGGCAGTCATCCCGTCCTGCCTTAAAGCAGCAACAATAATCCCGGTGCCGAAGAAGTCTCCCGTCACCAGCCTGAACAATTACCATCCGGTGGCCCTCACCCCGGTAATCACGAAGTGCTTTAAGTGACTAGTTCTTAAGCACATCAAGGACTATCTCCCCCCAGACTTCGACCCCCACCAGTTTGCGTATTGGACCACAGAAGACGTCGTCGCTGCAGCTCTCCACTCTGCGCTGAACCACCTGGATCAGCAGCAGAGCTACGTCCGGATGCTCTTTGTGGATTATAGTTCAGCCTTTAATGCAATAATCCCGGACATCCTCATCACAAAACTGGACACTCTTGGCCTCCCCCCTCTCACATGTGCCTGGATAAAGGACTTCCTCACCAACCGGCCCCAGACTGTGAGACTTGGCCCCCACCTCTCATCCACCAGCACGCTGAGCACCGGCTCCCCACAGGGCTGTGTGCTGAGCCCCCTCCTGTACTGCCTATACACCCATGACTGCAGTTCGACCCACAACAGCAACCTCAAGTTTGCTGACGACACCACAGTGGTCGGACTCATCTCGAAGGGAGACGAGGTAGCCTACAGAGAGGAGGTCCTGAAGCTGGCAGCCTGGTGTTCAGAGAATAACCTCGCTCTGAACACCAAGAAAACCAAGGAGATCATCGTCGACTTCAGGAAGCACAGTACCGACCTAGCCCTCCTTCACATCAACGGCGAGCGTGTGGAGAGGGTCCACACCTTCCGGTTTCTCGGCGTCCTCATCTCTGCCAACATCTCATGGACAGACAACATCACAGCGGTCATCAAGAAGGCTCAGCAGCGGCTGCACTTCCTGAGGGTCCTCAAGAAGCACAACCTGGACTCCAACCTGCTGCTGACCTTCTACCGCTCTACTCCCCTCAGTGCATTGGTCATATGATCCCAGCCTTCCCAATCTTAGTGGGTTATACACAAAATACTGGCTCATGATTACGTGCGCATTACTTTTCGTAGGTATACACATGAACAGCGCATAAGAACAACCTGCTTGTCATCATCAGGGTACGTAATATTACAACCAAGTACAACCAAGCTGGCATAGTAATTCTTGTCCAAGAAGATTAGTATCAGTTGCCATCAAAGAGGAGTGTTCTCTAGGTAGAATGCCCAACTCAACAGACGTGTGCAAGAAAATGTGTTGGTTTGCCATTGATAGATACAGTATGCATATTCATGATCATGTGACTTGGCACCCAGCAAAAGGCTGTCCAAGACGCAGAGTTAGCAGGTGGAGCATTCTGTTGACACTGGTTAGGACATTGTTTACCCTAATGTCTCAACTGATTTACATCTACGGTCTGTGTCAGTGGGTCTGAATGCCTGCTGCTCTGATATGACTTTGACATCTGATAATTTGCTACTACCATACTTTGTTCTATAGAAATATCTCATGATACTGGATTTAAGTTATTGCCTCTGACTGCAGTAAGTGCGAGAACAAAGGCTCTGTCCCTGCTGCAGCGGCCGAGAGTTCAATTGCGACCTACAGCCCTTTACTGCCTTTCATTCCCCCTCTCTTTCCATCTTTCCCACCAACAACTGTGCTATCACAAAAGAGCCTTAAAAATGTCTTTAAATGCAAGAACAAATAAATTTTAATAACACTCTATAAAGATCACACCTGTAATGCTTTATGAGGGCATTCATAGTGGTGCCAGACTTTAGTCTTTTCTAAATCTTTTCAAAGTCTTTCAAAGTATTCTAGTGTTGGCAGGCATTCATCACTTATGATGCAGCATAGATTCTTTCAAAGGAATGAAAAAGCATCACACTACAATGAAACATTATGATGAAGTATGCATTATTATAGATGCCTTATTATGTACCTGACTTAAAACCTATTTACACAGTGATGATTTATGAGTGTGCATTATGTGTGATTATAAGTGTAGTCATAAAGCATTTAAATGCATTATAATTCACTATAAATGCCCTCATAAAGCATTAGAGATGTGGTCTGCAGAGAAAATGTTACTGAAATGTTTGGAAAAAAAAAAACAGGTCAACTTTTGTCATCAAAGAAATGTGTACACATTAAAAAAAAAAAAAAAAAACTTTTTTTTTTTTTTAAAGCATTTACCATTCTAGATCACTTGTTTTGTGCTATACAGGACTCTCAACATAACACAGTGCAAACATCCTAAAAATAACAAGGCCATGAGTCAGTGTGTCATGATGACAAAAACGCTTTTCACCCCACCCTGTGAGCACGGTTTATGGGCTATTAAACCTAATGTATTACTGACAAATAACAATCCAGTAAAATAATGCAGCCGGTCTATTGTATCTATCAAGAATCTTAAATCTCTTTTATATTTTTCTTTGCAGACCCGCTCTTGTCGGCTTTTCAAACCTACTACACCAAGTGATACATATTTCATGTGATATTGGGACAATAAGTGCAAGTACAATAAACATCACATTGAAATATTCCCCATTAAGGCAGACCTGCAGTGAATACTGTAAATCATAGTTGAACTGTTGAGCACAAGCCGTCACACTATCAGAGAGGCGGATCTCATCAGTGTTGCATTCTGTGTTATGTAATCATTTGAAGAGATGACTGTGTTGAACAGGGCAAGCAGATATCATCTGGAATGTTCTTTGTGTCACAGAGATGCATATGATGGATCCTTCCACTGGAATCTCTTAGGTAAGCATCAGGTTTGGATAAAACAATGAGAACACAAAGTACACTTGAATTGTAGGAGGAGGACACAGATAACCTGTGGGCATGTGATGCAGCCAGTGGACTTGACTTGAAAAGTTGTTTGTTTCCGTTTAAAAGGTTATAATAAAGCATTAAAAAATATTGTCAGAGAAAGACTATTGGCAATTTTCTGATTCCTGTAATCTGTTGTGTCTTCTACAGAAGTACACACATAAATTCAGTTTACAACTCTGGTGATGATAATGTAGCCTAAGCCTGACTGACAGGTGTACTCACCCAGGAGCAGTTTAATGCTCTCACAGAGCGGATGGCTGACACTATAAAAAACATTTCCAATACAGGACCAAGTGAATAGTAAAGTCATAGTAAGTCATTATCTCAGCTGTAGCTGCAGACGTTGGTTTCTGTGGCTAAATATCTTTACCATCACAGCCTGATATTTACCATGTTTATGATTGTGTTGACCACATGGAAAATGTGAGAATTTGGAATAATGGCCAGAAGTGACCACATAACAAAATGATGCCATATTAAGTTATTCTGTAACTGCGTCATTTCTATCACACATTAATGCAGTGGTAACTTTATTTCCTGGTGACAGTCTATCTGTTGTAGGAGGAGTATTGCCAGGTTGCAGGAGGAGAGGTGAGCAGGTAAGGAGTGGTTACTTGGTGACAGCTGAGGTGCGTCCAGCCCCCCCTTGATGTGTGTGTGCATGGGAGCACACCCCCTCCAAAGGTCTCTATATATAAATATAACTGCTGAAAAGCAGCTGGAAGTCACAGCGGAACAGAGAGCCTGGCTTAGGAGTGATCAGAGCATCATCAGCAGAAAGTTATCAACATGGGGAACTGTTGTGAGTGCATGAGGAATTTCTTCTTAGGGCACAAGAACACCAATGTCCGAGTTAGCCTGCCGGCTGTCTGCTTTGTCTGGCAGATTGCTATGATTATATTGTTTGGAGTTTTCATCCGGTACGATGAGGAATCAGACGTACGGAGATGGTTAGAGCACAAACATAGTCACAACATCACCAGCGATATTGAAAATGACTTCTACTTCAGATATCCCAGTAAGTACAAAAAATTCTCCTTGCAGTAAAAGTTACATTTTTAAATGCATGTGTTGTTTGATTATCCTGTGATAGTGTAGTATGCTGTGAGTAAAATATAAATGTACAAATGAAACATATTTCCAACAGCTGCAATTATTAAGAACCAGATTGTAGCCATTTTATTCTAATTTTACTCTCATGTTTCTGTCTTTGGTTTACGTTTACGGGTAAAAATACTGCACTGAAATGTCAGAGGTTCATAAAAACAACATGAATTATGATGTAAGGAGGCTGTTTTTCCAACTTGAATCTAGACTGAGATTGTGGCGAAGGCAAACTTATGAAACTATTTCAAAAGCTGAACATTTTATGAAAAGTCCTCTCCTTACCTTGAGTGTGACATTAAAATTTTAGCACTGCACAATGCTACATATCACTTTTTGGAAGCTTACTTGTGACACTGGCAGCAAATGTGTTCCCAGTATGTTGTAACCTTTCACTTTAATTCAATCTCAACGTGCAAAACACAAATTACAAAAATAATTTTAAAAAACCCCAAAAAAACCTTTGATTCAGCCTTTAAATTACAAGTTAATTGATGTTAAGTAGAAAATGAAAGTGCAAGAGTGACAGGTGTTTGTCAATGCCAGATATGCTTTTGTTCTAAGTATTGTACTTAACATTCTACAAAAAACTCACTGCATGCCATTACACAAATGTGCTCATCATTTCCCTCTTGGCAGGTTTCCAGGACGTCCATGTGATGATCTTTGTTGGATTCGGATTCCTCATGACCTTCCTGAAACGCTACAGCTTCGGTGCTGTGGGCTTCAACTTCCTGATCGCCTCCTTTGGTCTGCAGTGGGCTCTTCTCATGCAAGGCTGGTTCCATTCCCTTGACCACTCCACCGGGAAAATCACTATCGGAGTAGAGAGGTGAGTCTCCATTGCAAGCAAATAAACAGCTTCTTGTGCATCATTAATCATTCAGTAAACTGGAGAGGCGCAGGTGCGGACGCACAGGTGTGTTATGTAACTCAAACAGAAAAACACATTCTTTAACCAGTCAAGGTAATCTGTGTTTGAAGATGGACATGACAGTCTCACGTTTTTTTTCACGTACTTTGGTCTTGTCATGCTTCGTGGAGTCCTTGAGACACAGCAGTCATTCTTGTCATAACAAACTGAAGGTAACTGCTCCTAATGTATACAACCATAAAATGACAGATTTAAGCTCTAGACATTCAAGTTTGTCCACTGAAAGCATGGTTAAATGACAGCTGATTAGCTTGTTTGGAGGATCTTCATTCACTCTTAGGATCTGTTTTTTTTCCCTAATCAGTCAATTTGGGGGTCCAACATCGTTATAGAAGTGCAATGCTAAATCTGTGGCAGCTCATTATACAGTCACCCAGACAACAAACAGTACTCCTGTGCTGGAATAACACTACCTCGCCCCAAGGTTTCTGTGTATACACAACTTTAAATATGAATACACATCATGTGTTATTATAAATAGTTTGGTTGTGAGACAAGGATCCTCGACATGACTGGGCAACATCATTAGGTATTAATGCAGGACCCACATTATTTGATACTGTACTTTAGTGGTGCTAAATCCCAAACAAATTTGCCATTCAAATCATATCACCAAAATCATCTGACATGCACTGAACTTTGGACTTTTGTGGCCTGTGGGGTTCTGGGACCTTGGGGTAGTCGCCCACTTTGCCCAGCTGACAGTCCAGCCTTGCTTTGACTCCTCACAGTAATTTGGTGAATCAATCATTGCTAGTTTGGTCGTCAGTCATTCTGACCCAGTCCTTTTCCTTGTCCCCCACAGTCTGATCAATGCAGATTTCTGTTGTGCTGGCTCCCTGATTGCCTATGGTGCCCTCCTGGGGAAAGTAAGCCCTGTCCAGCTGTTGGTTGTCACCTTATTTGGGGTCACGCTGTTTGCTGTGGAGGAATTCATCATCCTCAGCCTCCTTCATGTGAGTCTCACCAAACATGGTCATCCCACAGGAAACTTAATTATTGCCCAAGGAGTGAGAAATCTCCTTCAAACATTGCAATGTCTTTTGTGCTGCTTATTCCCACAGTGCAGAGATGCTGGTGGCTCCATGGTCATTCACTGCTTCGGAGGGTACTATGGATTGGGCATCTCCTGGGTCCTCTACAGACCAAACCTACACCAAAGCAAACGCCTCAATGGGTCTGTCTACCACTCTGATGTCTTTGCCATGATTGGTGAGCAATTTGTTTTTTGCACTTCAACACTTTTAAACCTCACCTCTCAGTGTTTTCATTAGGACCCAGTTCATCTGGCACAGTTTATATTTTTGCATTAGTCACTGTCAGACCTGTTTGATTCATTGTAAATGTGTCAATCTAACTTTGTTTTGATTGACTGCCTCTCACGTCACAGGTACACTGTTCCTGTGGATGTTCTGGCCCAGTTTCAACTCAGCCATCACTGACCATGGTGACGGACAGCACAGAACAGCTATCAACACTTACCTCGCCCTCGCTTCCTGTGTTCTCACCACTGTGGCCATCTCCAGCATGTCTGACAAGAGAGGAAACCTCGACATGGTAATTCTTTGTCACTGAAAAACAACAATTAGTCATGCAACATGCATGGATATCTCAATTTGCCCATGACTAACATGCTGTTTTACCTGACAGGTTCATATCCAGAACGCCACTCTGGCAGGTGGTGTTGCCATGGGAACAGCAGCAGAGTTCATGATCACTCCTTATGGTGCTCTAATCGTGGGATTCTGCTGTGGCATCATCTCCACCTTTGGCTACCTGTTTGTCACAGTGAGTCTTCGGTCTTTCTCCACCTAACTTTTAATCTGAGAGAACTCCTGAAGCATGTGTTGTGGCTCTCATCACTGCAGATGGAAAGTTACTGAAAGTGAGAAAGTGAAAAACTCATAAAGAAAGTATGAAGGAAGCAGCATGAAAAGGAGAGGCACAATGAAACCAGTCATCGATTGTATTACAGGAAAATAACAGAATAATAGAAAGTGATGATTCACTTAAGTGACGGTTATGAATGGAATCAGTCCAGTGAACTCATGCAAGGTGCTGACAGGCACTAAACAAGTTACTCAAGGTGCTGATGACTTTATGCCAGCCACTGTATAGTCATGGACACGTCTTGGTTTTACAGTAAACTGGAACATGTGACTTAAAATACAGTTCAAAAGGTTGAATTTGTGAATTTCCCTTTTTAAAAACCTGAGGAGGATTTTATATTCCATAATTACATATAAATTACATGTAATGAACTCTTTTTAAAAGCTGATTCTGGGAGGTTTTAGAGTATTAACCTTATATCTGGCTGTTTTAAACATGAACTAAAATAAAGGATTTTCTACACAACAATTTGTTCCTAGTAGCGTTGAGCAGAGTAATCGAATGCAATGATTATCTGGTACAAAAAGTGTACTTTTTACAAGTATGAGTATCATCCGAGTAAAATGTGCCAACATCTGTACTTTAGTCAGGACCATGGCTCTGTTCTGGGGCCTCTCTGCCTTTCCTCAGGCCTACTGAGAAAGTCTAAGTTGGAGAACACACACTTCTCCACCCTTCCACACACCTATGTGGAATGCCTAAGGTGGGGAGTACACACTTCTCTGCCCTTCCACGTGCATACGAGGAAAGCCTAAGGCAGGGAGAGCAGCAGCAAAGACATATAAAATATTTTCATTAACTCCTGGCTACAGTCCAGGTTACAGATCAGTAATTAATGTATGACTGTATTTTTTTCATTCTCAGCCCTTCTTAGAGAAATATCTCAAGCTCCAGGATACATGTGGTGTCCACAACCTGCACGCTGTGCCAGGGATGCTCGGCGGCTTTGTAGGTGCCATTGTTGCTGCAGCCGCCACTGAGGAGGTCTATGGCAGAGAGGGGTGAGTGACTGACACACACACACACACACACACACACACACACACACACATAGACATGCACACACATAATACTTTCAGACCTGTTTGTTGACTCCAACACAGTTAATGAAAGCACTCACCAACATGGAACACCCACCCGTCAGATATCAGGCATGGTCTTTGTCTAATCCTGCAGACTGAACACTTGGTTGCTTGGATTAAAACTTTTTTTGGTTGTTTGTCTAGGTTGATCTCGGTATTTGACTTTGAAGGCAGTTTTGCAAACAGAACCGTAGGGACCCAGGGAGGCTTCCAGGCTGCTGGCACATGTGTGGCTATTGCATTTGGACTTGTTGGTGGAGCGCTTGTTGGTGAGTTTGTAAAATGCCGTTTCAGGGCTATCTGTTTTAGTGATTGTGATGAGGGAATCCAGAGGCATGATGTTAATTTCTCGAGCACTCAAAAAGTATTTTACATTTAGCTTTTAAAACAACTCCACACGTAGTGTTTAAAGAAAACTTCTCCAAGCAAAATATGTTAACAAAAAAATGATAAAATGAGAAATGACGTCCCTTAAAATATTATCTGCCAGTGTCAGTGTTTCTGTGTGTTACAGTCAGGGAACATTAATTTTTTTTAAAAAAAATGGTATTAAAGCTGAAGTCTTGCTTAATGTCATTTTAGGGATCATTCTGAGGTTCCCTATCTGGGGCGACCCTGCTGATGACAACTGCTTCGATGATGAAGCTTACTGGGAGGTAAGAATGCTTTTCTACCACTAGATGGTGTTCTCGCCCTTTGTTTTCGCTGAGGGGAAAGATAGACTGTAAAATTTCTGGCTCATGATCTGATCCTATGTGTCTGTTTCAGGTTCCTGAGGATGAGGAGAGCATCCCTCCTGTTCTTGAGTACAACAACCACATGATACACAAGCACCAAGACATGTAAGCTCACTAACACTGAGACATCATCGTTTACTCCTTGCTCTAAAGAGTTGTCATTAAATGTGATTTTCTTATTTCTGTTTCGACAGATCCGAGTCAAACTTCTCTGTGGAGCAAAGTTAGAAGGAACACTTCAAACTTAATACAGCTGTGAAATTACACTAATTCATCAAGGAGTCACCCTAAAAAATGTGCAATTCTCCATTTGTCAGTGATTGGAATCTTAAGGTTATGATAATTGTGACAAAATATCTTATTTTTTATTATTGTGTTTAAAAACTGTTATTCTTGAAGGGAAAACTTCATATAATTTGCACATGTTGCAGATGATTGTAAAATATCAGGTACTGAATCCAAGCAGCATGATGTAAAGTCAAAGACACTTTATGTTGTGTAAGAAGATTGCTACGCACGGAAGAACTGAGGAACATTTTCCCAAATTTGGAAATGCATCACTGTAAATCAGTTGTTGTACATCATTTATCTTAAACCTCTAAATTTTTGGCTTTAAATTGTTAAATATTGCCATAATGTTTGCCTTTTGTATTTCATCTCATCTCTTTTTTAGTTGTGTGTGGGGAAAAAAGAAGGTGTTAAGTGAATAATCGGAGGTATTTGTGAAGCCAGATTAGATAGTTTTTTAGTTGTATATCTTACTTACTTATGTATTGGACTTTATAAGCTGTGTGTATATATAATTTTATGACTCACTGTTTTTTGTTGCACTTACTTGGTCTTGAGGTGGAAGTTATGAGTAACTACTGTATCTATGATACAATTTCTACAGTTTTGCGATTTGGTTGCTGTAGTGTTGACTGTTACCTCCAACACACTTTGTGTGACTGTATGTGACAATCTGCCTGTTCTATTGTTGACGTATTTTTAGATGTACACATTAAAAAATCATATGTAACTGGAATTTAATTAAAAAAAAAGTTATGTATTGTCTTTACAAACTAATTTCTCGCATTTTTACACACACCTATGATAAAAATGCAAAAATGTCTAAATAAATAAATTATTACAATGCTGATATTGAACTCATGTACCTTGATTAACTAGAATAAATGACTATCATGATGTGAAAATTTTCCTCTGTGCTTACAAGAGGCTCAGATACATGAACAAATGTGCATAAAAAGCATTAAAGGAATACTTCACCTCCCAAACCATTTGTATATCAATTAAGAAAACATTTTTCTCCCATGCCTCTGGTGCACAAAGAATCCAAAAACTGAACCTAGAGCCTTTAAAATAGCAGCAAATCCCCTCTCTGCTTCGTAAAGAGATGATGTCCTGAGCAAAGAATGAAGTCACACCACCTCTGTGTGTGTTGTTAATCTGAGCTTCTCTGTGGTTTGTCGTGGTAAGCCGGTCTGGTCACATGTGCATGTTAGTGCATGTGTATATCTCAGTAGTTCGCTGCATTTTTGCACTATGCGTATATCTGATATCAGGACTGCATTGTTGTGGAAGCAGTTCCCCTGTGGTTAACTGTTAGCTCTGTCAGCACTGGTGTTGTAGTTTAACGCTGTTTATGGAGATTCATACTAACAGTCAACTCATTTTTCACCAGTTAATGCTTTTAATGTGCACCTGTAGCTGTAGGAAATGTTCAGTTTGCATTAGCAGTAACTTAAAGGGGAACGCCCCCTAAATTAAGAATCAAATGTTACTTCCATGGCCTAGGAAAGCTCAATCAACAATTGTGAACATTAGTTACTCTCTGTCAAAGCCAGAAACCAGAGAAGTAAGTCTCAAACTTGTGATGTCATCGAGTATAAAGTCTGGAGCTGCTCTATAGACAACAGAAATAGTATTTATGAATTTTGAAAATGGGATTGTTCCCCTATGATGCAGCGTTTCTGCGTGAATGTCACCCTCGACACCTAGTTTAAAATACTGCAGACAAATGTTATGTTGCAATACTTTCATCAGTGGGCCATTGTGTTACTGCACGCAGTGATAGATAGTGATTTAGTAGACGTAATCTTTGCAATTATTACTTTAATACTCTCAGTTTTCTTTGAGGTCTACTTTGGTGGTGGACTGTGATTCTACTGTGCTGATGGTAGCACACAAGAAGCTTTATTCATCCATGAGATGTCAAACTAACATCACCTGACCCTGTTAGTAAAAGTATTTTCCTCTTCATTACAATTCCTCTAACACTCCACAAGGTGGCGGTATGAGGCAAAAAAAATTTGAGTCAATATTGTATCACTTCTCTCATGTTAAACTCAACAAAAGCTCTCCAACTTATTTAAATCAAATCTTCTGTCCAAATCCATTCTCCTGTTCAAGGGTAAAGACATGCATATGATTGTGTGTGATATGTCTGGAAGAAATTTGAGGATGAACAGTAGTCAGTGTTTTAGTTTGTCAATCACAGGTTTTAAATGAACAAACTAGATAAAAAGTTGCAAGCAGACAACAAAAACAAAAATTATAATGCATATATATGTTGCAACATTACACATCAATCTTCTTTGTGTGGGGGCCAACTTTTCTCTCCAGCTGGGGACCAAACAGCATCCAAATTTACATTTTAGGAAGCTTAGTGACAGTTCAGTCAGGAGGACTCTGTTCACTCTCATCCACAGTTCTCTGCTCTTCTACGGGTTCTACTCTATCAGCTGATTATGGGCGTCACCCTGAGTAATCCAACCAGATTCTGCCACGATCTTCCGAAGCCAATCAATTACTGCTGTCAGGTTTTTAAAATTGTTCTCCTCTCTGCTGCTGTCGGTTGTTTGTGTAGGATGAACAGATTTGACCCTCCTCCATCCCGTTCACTCCAAGTCTTCAGCTCATCCACTGCACAGTCCTGCTCCTCATCCCATCATCCTCATCCTTCAGCCATCACTTTCTCTCCACCTCCACCACCAGTGTCTAGACTCCATTGGGGGAATATTCCTACCCCCTAAATATACACATCACAATGGGGTCTAATCACCAAAGAACTTTTCATCATTTATCATATTGTGGTTTTTGTATCAAATTATTGCTCACTCTCAAATAAGTCTCTCCTGATTGAACAGTTGTTTGATCCTATGAGGACACCTGCTGGACTCATCTACAGTACACTGACAGATTGGTTTCAGTATTTGCACAAGACAATGCCAGCATTTAAAGTAAATGTTTTAAGCATTTGTACCAGTTATTGACAAATAACAACACTCGAATTATCACCTGGCATGACACAAATTTTTTGAGGTGGAGGACCAGAAGAGAATAAACACACTAAAAAAAGGAAACTGTGACTCTCAGAATTTGCTTTAGTTTACCTTTAATTACCAAAGTATTTATTTTGATAAGCATTTGATAATTGTGAAAAAAACAATAATAATAAAAAATTTAAAAAAAATAAAAAAATTAAGTTGTTCTCTATTGCATACACACAAAAAATTAAACTATGCACACAATTCTGACAACTTGTGGCTCATGTATCAACAAAATTCCAGACTGCTAACAATGAGCACAATTTCATTATTTTCACTCAAATAGAAACTCTAAATCACCTTTTTGCAAAACTCTAACCACAAACTGCATCACTGAGCACATTATGTTCATCTGGAAATCAAAACAACACACCCTAATAACTAACACATCTGACTCATGTCTCACCTGTTCAAAGTCATTGTGCAATTTCCCCAATTGTTTTAACATGTTTCCTACTCAAATAGCTCAAATTCTTAAAACACAAAATTAAAGAGGTAACCATTTTGTCAAAACTTCACAAATCTTTTCCAGAATGAAACACTGCACTCAAAACCATGTTCTCTCTTCTTATAACAAATTCTTTCCACCAAAACAATAAACACAGCTATAATATGAATATCTCACACAGTACATAAATTAAACACTGGTGAAATAAATCTAAGACACTACCATCAAAATATTGTTTTTATATGTTTAACTTCATGAGGCCTTGCTACAGATTTACAGTTTTTCTCAATTGTTTACACGCAATTTTGAAAACAGGGCTCCTTTTTTCAAAATATTCACACAATTATCCAAACACCACACTCAATTTGCATAACTCCTAGATTGTTTGCAAAATGACACACTTCAGTCAAAACATATACACTTCAGTCAAAACATATACACATATTTATAAAAATGCTGTTTTGTTTTCATTTCACTAACACAGTTTCAAATGATCAGACACTATTGCAGTCAGTTACACACTACAGTGATAAATACAAAATACATTTGTAAAAACCCCTATTTTAGGAAATAGCTGGTCTAGTGCTAGACTTTTTTGCCAGACATTTTTATGTAAGGGATAATTTAGATGACAAAAAGGTATTGTCAAACCCACAGCATTCTTCATGATTACTTTGAGGTATACAGAAAAAGTACACAAATACAACAAACAAACACAACACTGATTGCAGACTGCTGAGACTGAAAATATTTATTTCTTACCATACTCAGTTACAGTAACAGATCAACAATGAAAATCAGAACAAAATAGTAGTTTTTCTTACTACTGTAAAGTGTAGACAAATAAAAATTCCTCTATTGGGTTTAGGAATGGGGAGTATGGTGGAAGGTATAAGACTGCAAATTCAGGGTGCTCATGGAACCAATTGTGGACCAGAGCAGATCGATGGAAAGATACATTGTCCCAAACGACAATGTACTGCATGTGGTCCACTTGGTTTACAGTAAGCACCTGTGTGCTTCCATACCAGGTGGATGTGATTATCCAATTCGTTCATTAGTGTGGTCGTTGGCAAGCAGGGGCTTTGTAATGAGAAGGAAGTAACCTCACAATCCTTATCTGTGTCTAAGGTGTGATAATGCGTGTAGAGTTTTGCAAATCACTGTGTGTAATGTTTTGCAAAAAGTGTGAAGCTGAGTCTGTGCTTATTGTTGTGCAACTATGGACAGGTGTTCTGCTTCTTGAGTGTAAAGAGCTGTTAACTGTGTGAAAATTTTCATTTTAGTGCGTAAACAACTGTAAAAAACTGTAAAGCTATAAAAATGTGTCGAAATTGTTTCCTTTTTTCCTTTTCAAAGTTTAGGATTTTTGTCCAAAAATAAGCTGCAATTTTTTGGTACCTTCAGTATGTTGTAAGGACTGTTACCATATTATGATACAATATTGTGAATAGATCAGATAAATATTGATTGACACAATCATTGTATCAGCATTATGGACAATGCACATTTGTCTATCCATTGAGCTCCAATTGGACTGAACTTGCAACTCAGCTTCCCAGAGTCACACTGTAAACTTGTAGTTGATACTGCAGCACTGTTAGAGTTCTAAGAATACACAAATGTTACCTATTTTGGCAAAACTCACAGTAACTGAACAGATACTGTGGGTAAAATGAGAAACACTATAGTAAAAAATGTTTAGACTGTCTTTCTGGAGATGTAACGATGAAATCAGTGCACTAATGAAAAAAAAAGGTAACAAAGCAAATAATTGTTATTGTAGCACAATAAAATGTTCAGCTGAATGAACTACAGTTTTACACTGTTGCAAAAACACAGTTCCTGAAACTATGGCCCTGTATGTCAAAACTTCACATGCAAAAAAACAAAAACATCCACACAAAATACAAAACATCTTACATCTCTGGCAAAAGCAAGTGCTACATTCAAAACTATAAACTCTTCTCTATAAACTATAAAATCATTCTTTTGCCTCAAAACGTTGCACACAAACACTTATGTAATAATGGATCTCTCCACTGCCAACTGCACACAGCTGTGCTAAATCTAAAACCCTTTTAATATTTCTACTTTTCTAATGATACATGCTAAGAATTAAAACACTATTACTGTACGTCTTTGGTATTTTCATTAGTAGCATGCTGTAAATATGAACACAAATCCAATGGTGAAACAAAATCTGTTTATTGTCAATACTGAACTGAAGATAACATAAAAAAATAAAGCATGTTATTATTGTCCATCCTGTCTCCGATGTGCATCAGGCTTCTTCAGACATCTCTTCCTCTAACCCTTTCTCCAAAATTGTCCTTCATTCAAAGAGCAAACCTGAGTGTGGTG